CACCCTTGTCATTGTGAATGACAACCTGAGACCAACAGGTTAAAGAAAGGCACAAGCATTAGGAATACTTGCACATCTTTCTTATAAAAGAACAGACAAAACAGAATAGAGTGTAACTGTTTTGAGACATTACATTAACTAATTACCAGTCTGGAGTCCCATGGCTATATAATAGAGACTTCCAGAACTCACAGAGGTCATTTTGACCCAACTTGTCTCATCAGCTCTTAAAAGTTCTCCCAATTCCTTCATTAGCCGCAGACCATTGAGGTTTGATTCATCCTATTAAAGGATTTCTTCCTCCAGAGCAGCTCTCCCTCTCATGAAATACTTCTATAGCTAAATTTAATAGACACGGAACTATTGGAAAGAGAAGATGAAGCATTTATTTAGCTCATTCAAATGGCTTTTTTTGTTCAGGCCCCGACTGAGCTATGAAATGTCCACTTTTTTTTCATCTTTGATGGACGGTGCACCCGAGAAAGCCAACCAACTCAGAGGCGAGACGAATACAAATCGTTCACTGAGCCCCAACACATCCGCGTGAGTTTGTTCTAGTGCTGAATCCACTGACCTTCTGGCTTTCTGTGTCAGCAAAGGTCAGGCCGAAGTAGTCCTTCTCCAGCAAGTTGAGGTGCTCACACACCATGTCCATTAGGGTTTGTCCTTTGGAGTGCTTCTGCAGACAGAAACACACACAGACACAAAAAGTTTGAGAGAAAGTACAGGAAGGCTTCCTGTGGTTCCTGAGGCTAGCTTTGGTTAGCCTTTTACTGCTGGTTTTCCTGTAAACTTGTGAATTTATAAAGCTCCTGTTTTAAGGTCTGTCTTTACTTCACTCCCTGTTTGTTTTGTTCTTTTCAGTTAATTTTGCTTCCTATTAGGATTTAACGCCTGTTTTTTTGTTCTCTAGGTTTCCTTATATAACTCTGCTATGCAGAGTTACAATGTTATAAATACATTGTCTGTATTTATAAAGGTTACTGGGACCAGTTTTCTTTCCCTGTTATCTTTTACTGTCTAGATCCTGTTTTTTATATTTCTGCAACTAAATTGCTGTATGATGAGTCCATACTTGGGGACTTACTGACATAAAAGATAATGCTGTTTTATTTATATTTTAGGGTCATACTATTTAAGGTCAGATTATGACTACATGTTACAAGCAGAGCATCTTCTTCTATGCATTTGCTGACTCATCCAAGTCTTGTGACGAACTGCAAATTACAAAGGAATATTATTTTATTAGTAGATTTTTTTTATTACGAAAATAAAGTTATAATATTATCACAACATAGCTGTAATATTAGCAGAAAAACGATGCAAAATTACTTGAAGAAAGTTGCAAAATTACAAGAGAACAAGTGGATATGAGAACAGCAAAGCTTCTGTAGTTATCTAGCTCTGATGCGACCAGCTCGTCATCTGAGTGGTTTCTTTCTTTGAAACAAATACATCGTTTCAAAATCCTCTGTGACTGATGATGCTGATGAGTTAAAAGTATTTCCTTAATTGCAAAACCTAAACTGAAGTATAACTTCACAGAGAAAAAAATTTACGCTAATATATGACCTTATTCTTGTAATGTTATGATTCTCAATATCTTATAACTTTATTCTCATTTTCTCATGACTCTATTCCAGGAATTTTATGATTATTCTAATATTATTACAACTTTATTCCCATTAAATTATTTTATTATTTTATGACTTTTTTCTCATAACACAAATTTTATTCTTGAATTTTTTTTCTGAGTCTGGTTCTGTAACTCTAATGAGTGTTTTGACTGGTTAATTCCCTCATTGCCACGTAAACTACCAAATTTCTAAGGCCTTTACAGAACAGCTGTAGTTAAACGGGATTACACTGTATGTTTTGTATTAAAGGGTATCAGAGTAAAGAGGCCAGTTAAAAATTCCCATCAGATCTGTGGTTGCATCACCTGCTGTTTTCATTGCGCTTCATAGTTATACAATGTTTTGTGTCAATCACATACAATTCCGCAAAAATACAAAGGAGTTTGTCCAAACCACCTCAGCTCTTCAGCTCCCCATGCTGCATTTAATTTAAAATATTTAAGATATGCTTTACTGAAAAAAAGGTGAATTTTTGAATAGTAAAGCAGGAATAAGCAGAGGTCCATTGTATATATTGCCAAGGTTGCTGTAAAGAAGCTTTTGAAACGGAGGAATTTCAGATTTTTTCCCCTTTCAAATTCAAATGACTTTTCTGGTTTTCACCTTCAACAGATACTTTTTGACTCTGCATTTCCTACAGGTGCAACAGGAGATGAGACTCTCGGAACGAAGAATTTCAGACATTTATTAGTATTCTACATAAGTAAAACTTAGTAATGAAGTACTGACGGTTCTTTTTCCACACAGCTCACTGAAGTGTGCTTTAAATAGACATAAAAATAAGTAATTACAAAATTATTCCTTAACCTTTAGACAACTTTTTTTATCACAATCATTGAACTCAGTGAAGAGGCTAGTAAGAAGCCAAGCTGAAAGTGACAAGATCCTCTTGAGTTTATGCCTTTAAACTGTGATGCAACTTTTCTGCAAACACAGAATAATATTTGCTTTAACTGGTTTAATGAGATACTAACAGTCAAAAAAGCACATAAACACATTATTCTTCCATCGCCAGCTGCTTTTTATAAACATCTTGGCTGCTGATTTTCAGATCCTCTGGAAAATCCAGCTGTGCAAGTCGGAATTCCAGCTTCAGTGAGAGCGTTTTGTTCAGTTTTTCTGAATTGGAGCTCTTGCAACTGGGAATTCCAACATCAATGTTTTTATTGAGATATAAACAAATAAAATACAGTTATTACAGTGATTAACTGAACATGCAAAGAAACAAAAATATATGTGCAAGAAAAGAAAAACGCCCAGTGTCTTTAAGGCATTTGTAGTGTTTTTGTTGATACCATAGAAAAAAATATAATAATAATAATAATAATAATAATAATAATAATAATAATAATAATAATAATAATAATAATAATAATAATAAAGCATTATACAATAAAGGCAGAAAAAATACTTAAGTCCTAAATTGCATTATTAATCATAATAAGAATAACAACACAACTGCTCATAATGAGAAACAAAAGTAATAACAATATTAGCAATAATAATTTGACACAGTTTGGCCCCAGGGAGGGCCCTAAAGGAGCAGAGGGCACAAAGCTACAGCTCAAATAAATCCCCAGTCCAGAAGCATTCAGCCAATGCAACATCTGATAAGCAACTGGCATGCTAACGTTGACACAAAAAATTATGCCAATTAGAAAATGTTTAAACCAGGGGTGGAAATTAGCACCTGCCCCTGGCCAAATGTGGGTAAAAGTCTGAAGTGGCATGTAGATTGGAGCAACGCTCCGCCACCTTGGCAGGCTGACAATTTGAACAGGAAAAAAACAACATTCACTTTTAACATTTTTTTTTTCAATAATTTGACTACACAGGAAGTCAAAATATACTTGAATAACACAGGAATGATGACGACCCTCAGAATTAATATTGAACACGCTTTGAGATGTTTTTAGTAATAAGAATAATTATAAATTTATTGTCAGTAAATCGGTTTTCATAGAGTTAAAAATAAATCATATATTTTATAAACATACTTGTGGTTTTGTATTCAAAAGAAGAAAAAAAACAGTGGCTGGTGAAATATCTGAGTGGCCGGTAAAAAATGTTCTCTACCGGCCACTGGGGCTGGTAGAGAACATTTTTAATTTCCACCCCTAGTTTAAAGTGGCATAGCCCATATTTTTTAGTATGGGTTAGGATGCTAACCTTTACTTAGCATTCTAACTAGGGGCGCACAACAACTTATGATAAATTGGTCCTGATTTTCTTAACTTTGGTTAAGAGTTAACTAAGAGTTGGTTAACTTTGGGCTGTGAAACCGATCTTGTCCACCAATTTTATCTACCTTGGCAAATGTTTGAAAATCACCCCCTTTTGAATTAACAATATTCACTCCACTGTTGCCAACTTAACATCTTTTTTTCACACAAAAAAAATTTTCAAAATCGGAATGGGCAGGTCAGGTTTTTTAAAAGTTGATGATCAGCCAAAAAACTGCAATTGGTGCACACTAGTGCTAACCATAATAATAATGGCAGCATTAAAGGAAAAGTGTAAGAACCTAAATTTGAGTACATTTTGATTTTTCCTGTGTTTCCATATGCTTCAGACGCAGAACAAACTACCATTATTTTTACAGGCAATTCTAAAATATTATATTTGTGAGATGTGAACACATTTCATATCCAAACTTTAGGTGAAGATGCATATTTCTACCATCACGGAAACCACGATAACAAGCATTTTGGTTCAGGTTTAACCACTGACATGATAACATCCGTGCGCGTAAAGAAGAAAAAAAAGCCCTCACTTTTACAGAAGCACTCATCGGCTTCAGTTAAATATAGAACAAAGACGGCCGAGTTAATGTTTACACCTAACCACACACTGTTATCCTCTCACACATGCTTCCTTTTCTTGTGGCTCCTTTTGTGCACTGACAGTAAAATTGGGCTAGTAGTTGCCAGGGAAACAGATGCAGTGTTATTCCTCTTGTTTCTTAATATCCCAAGGGTATGACGAAAAAGTGCCTGAACTTTTTTGTTAGCGCTCAAGCGGCATTTGGAGAATGGATAGAATATTGCATTGACAAAAAAAAGAGAGAAAAATAAAAAGTCGTGTTGCTGCATTGTTCTCACTCTGATGTGACACATGAAGAGCAGCTAGCACTGAGCCGAGCCTGAAATAGGCCAGTGGAATGCATCGGCCCAGCCTGACCACACATGCGGGGTGGGTGTGGCTCCTCCGCTGCTGGCCAGGGGCCGATGGGGAGCTCCACCATGCATCCATGACTCAAAACTTAATTAACTCAGGAATACGGCAACTCCTTTAGAGAAAAACAGAGAGAGAGAGCAGAGCGACAGACAAGAGGCTGCAGGAGGCTGTGGCACGCTGCCGCCTGTCGACACTCAGATTTAAGACAGTCGCTAAACTGGAAAGCTTACATACAGTTCCTTCAAGGGTCACTTGAAGTCTGCTGGTCAGTTTTACTCACCTGGTGTCTTCAGTTTTTACAAAATTACTGCTGTTCAAAGTTTAACTAAACAAGTATCGCAGTTAATCCAACTTTTCCTGAATTATCTAGTGGTGGGATTTTTAAAAAAATGTTGTTAATTTCACAGTCGGTAATTAATTAAATGTAATTAATTATGTTTTAATCAAAAACTATATTGATAATATAAGCAACATTTTCAATTCAAAATGTATGTCTAGTATTCTCCTTACATATTTTCAGAGCACTGAACACGTGAAAGATTTTCCTGAGATGTATAATGCAAATTTTCAGTATTCTGATGGTGGTTCTTTGTTCTCGCCACTTTCCACTTTCCATAAAAGCCTAATTTGTTAAGTGCAAGATTACTAATTCTGACATGACAACACCAAAAAGTCCAAGCAAAACACCAGTTTATATACGCTGCAAATCCATCTTTCTCTTGCAGTGACTTCAGTGCTGCCAGGTTGGGCTCATAATCAAGAAGAGTGATTCATGTGAAACGGTTTTGTAAACATCCCCCCCACCGGCAGAGCGGGGTTATGTATGTTGTGTTGAGGGGCCTGAATGGATTTCAGGATGTTTTCAGGGTGCTGAAAAAGATGGCAGCCGTCCTGATAGTCGTACCTCACAGGTCACCCTGCCCCCATCATCACAGCACACATTCAAACCTCCATGCACTTGTGCAAAAAGTATCCCCGGGAGTGTGCTCGTGCTATAATAACATTGCTCTTCTATTTTCTCCTTGGCTGCACCTGACTCGCAATCATGTAACCACTATGGATTTTTTAGTACCCAGTTAGCGGTCGGTGCAAGCAGCTTTGAACAGAGGAGGAGGCAAAAAAAAGGCACCTATATAGACAGCATGTTTTAGGTAGTTCTTCAGGAGAAACCTAAAACACTGCTTGTTGAATGCTTGTATATTGAATGCAGATATAATTAGCTCCATTCAGCAAATCACAATGAAACCAAACTTTCATCAGCTAATCTTATCAACAAATCTATGGATTGTTGTTTGTAAAGTTATGCAGTCAAAAATGAACAGCAATAATTTGGGTTGTTTTAATTTTCAAAGTCATATTTTCACCATGTCTGTCATTAAGAAATGTCCCAGTTTCAAACTAATTACTTATGGAGCAAACTAAGTATTTAGTTTACAAAGTAAGGCAAGCTAAATATTTAACTCTGTGCTTAATATTTATTTTGAACCTTAATATGTAGCCAGCAAGCTAAATGCTTAGTCTAAAATTTAGCTCCAAGCTATTTTAGTTAGCGAGCTAAATATTTAACTTCAAATGAAATAGTTAGATGTTTAGTCTGTAAACTTAATATTTAGCTCCACTATGAACTGGATTAGTTGATATTGAAATGAATAATGTAAAAGAGAGAGATTTATTATCTTCTGAAAATAAACCTCTTGCATATTTTAGTTTGACTGCTCTCTGATTCAGTTCTGCATGTAGAAATCATGTCTTGTGCATGGAGGCTTTCTCCCTGACAAAACGATTGTCTGCTGAATTCTTCCAAGATTCTGTGAAAGGAAACAGAACAGCTTGAAGAAGCTCTGTCGAGTTCCCTCCACAGCCCTGTAATTGGATATTCATTTCTTCCACTGCTATCCTGCAAAGTTATTTCCAAAGACAGAGATAAACCTGTTCAAGGAGAGCTGCTGTTACCGCGGGTCAGAAAGAAAAATCCACAACGGATTTATCTCCATGAACTCCCTCACATCTTTATCTTTCATCCTCTCTTATGTGAGCTCCCAGTTCCTTTTATTGTGAGCGCAAATTGTCCAGTTTCACAAAGCTCGATGAACAGCAACACATTTTCGCCTGGAGAGGAAGACCTGGCCACCGCAGTAACACGTGTGTTATGGTAAAGTGGAACAATGTTGTCAGCTTCCAGCAGCACCATGCAGCTCACAAATCCCAACAAAGGGAGGTACAAACAATAGGGATGAGAAAATGCAAAGCCTAATTCAACAAAATGTACAAATGCTAATAGTTTTCCATTGTGCATACCTCGATTTCTCCCTCATACTCTGAAGAATCCAGCAGTGCCACCTTGAAGGTGGAGGTTTTAAGACGCTTTGAGCCTTTCTGAGGAGACTTCAGGTTCTTATTTGGGGAGGTCTTCTCAGATGTGTCCTCGGCCTCTCTGTGTTCGTCCTGGTGCTTAGAGTTCTGTTCCTGTAAAACATAAAAATATGGATTGGAGGTGGTAAAACATCAAAAGTTAAAAGTGGAATTGCACAAACCCAAAAATTAAATATTTTTTTCTGAATGCACAGCACACAAGTTGAAACTATGAAAATAAATTTGCTTAATGGAAGTAAGCCAATTTCGAAAAAACATGTATTTCAATAAAAGGTTTTGGCAGTAGGATGAGGAGGTTAAATAGATGTATTTTGTTAGAGAATTTTCGGTATTATCATTATGTTATTACTTTAGTTCACATTCAGTCTATAGATTATTGTGATTTTCTGTTTAAAGTGTTCTCTTCCTTATGTGTGTATGAACTGACCTGGAGGTCAGGACTGTCTGTTTCATCTTCATGTGAAACAGTTAACTCTGTGTTTCCCAGACCTTAATTCTTATCAACCAGAATACCTCCTAACTGCCTGTGAGCAGTTGTATTTTGTTTTGTTAACAGCTTGACCGAGATTTGAGCTGGGCTCAGACCGTAGATCAGATATCACACCTGGCTGGTTTGTTTAGGTTGGAAGTTTTACGACCTTTGTTGTTCTTCCTGACTGCCCCTTTTGGCTGTTCTGCTTGGACAATAAAACAGGGGCTCGCGTGGAAGGAGATCAGAACTCTCTGTGAACGGCTTGGAGAAGTTGTTGATGGAGATTTCTCCTTTTGCAAAAGCTTTGTTATAAAATTCATATACGTTGTCTGGGGTTCTTTTATATAGGTTCGAGAAAAAGTACCTATCATATTTCATAAAACTGTAATAGAAAAACCTTTTGTCACATCACACAAATCACATGATCAACAGCTGGATGCTACTACTGGTGAAAACCACAAAGAAGACGACAGGAAGTGTTTTATAGGATGATGTTTTGGTTTGTTTTGTTTTTGTTGGACAGTGTGCAGATGGCTCCACCAGAACTCTCACAGCATCACAGTTCATAAAAAGTAATGTGTCATTCTAAGGTCACTGACTACAATTTCCCCCAAAATGCCACATAGGTAGCCGTTCCCATGTAGGTGGGGCTTATCGCTCCAACGCCTGAATAAAACACCGACATCTTATTCAACATACATTATGAGCGCTAGCATCATGGCTGAAATATGAATATCTCTCATGTAGCTGTTTACATCCATTGTTGCCTTCATTTTTAAGGACTCATCTCATGAACAAGCTTATTCATGTGTGATTTTAATTTCATGTCTTATTTGATGAAAACACCACAATTGCAAAATTGTACATTTTTGACAGCAACAGAATATAGACAGAGATTTGTGCACATTTGTAATGGAAACACAGCTGCAGTCACCATGGTGATAGACCCAGGCTAACCTGATAACTCATTAATCCTGCTTCATATTTGAGGCTCCAGGTTGGAACAGGGTTTAAGTAATGGTTATGGTATTAGGGGATGAGTGACAGGCGTCCTAATTAGCTGATGGGCTGCAGATGCAGGGAACTGGAAACTAAAGCAACTAAGGGAAGTGCAGAGAGGAAAGAACATTACAGAATATAGAAGAACATAAAACAAAAAGAAACTGAACAAAAATCAACCTAAAGTACAAAAAATCTAAACATCTCCAACATCTAAATTCATGACAGGATTTTCAGCAGTTATATATTGAGAAATACAAAAAGTAATGTCATTAAATCTACGGAGTTTAAACAGTGTTATCCCATTTAATAAAAACTGACTTAAAGCAAAAATAATGTTATCTAAACAGAAAAGAATGTTGGAATTTAAATACATTTGATTATCTTTCCTTGGCTTTTGTTTTCAGCTCTTCTCCTCACTCTCACACCAAATGAAAATAAAGTGAAAGTCAGCTTCTTAAACCTTTTGTCAAACAATTCAATTTAGTTTGTTTGTACACAATCAATTCACACTATCTAAGGGAATTTACTGAAAGTAATTTCAATCTGATCATACATTCTTTCCAAACTGGTCCTAGTTATTAAATATTACATCAAGTTCAGTTCATTAATCAGATCAGTTTGAAGGTTTTCTGTCTAGGAAACCCAGCAGATTGGATTGATTCATTGACTTGCAGCGACAGTGGAGAGGAAAACGACATCTTTAACAAGAAGAAAGCTCCAGCAGAACCAGAGCTTAGCTCAGTAGCTGCGGCCATCTATCTTTTGTTGCCATTTACACAAATCTACACTGCTGGCACACAGTTAAAATGAATAGATGAAAAATGGCAAAAGAAAGTGTTATGTTTTAACCTTTGAGAAAAAATGAGCTGGAGATTTTAGCTCAAAAACTGTTGATTTACCTAAATGTTGAGGGAATCAGTCCAAGCCCTCCCACAGCAGGGAGCGCAAACAGCATTCCAGACGTCTGCCAGTGTCTGTACTTTAAATATGCTGCTGAAAGAGTTGTGGCTGGGCTGATTGTTGATGGGGTTTTAAAGGTATTCAGATTCATGCAAGGCTTTAGATGGGTACAAAAACACAGCAGGAAGTTCTAAATTCTTTCTAAACACTCGACTTTAAAACCCTGCTGAGTCTGGAACAGGATGAAAACATCATCTCCATCAACATGTGCTTATTACTGCTGAATATGAATTCACTGAGATGCTAACTGCTATGTTATTCTGTATAGATGTTGGCAAAAGAAAAAAAAAACACAAAAAAAGCAATAGCTAGCCTTTAGAAATGCAGAAGTGTGCATTGTTCTAATTAGTTTTAAATGATGCCGGTAAAACAACAAGAAATTACACAAAGACAAAATGAACTCAGTGGTGTTAATTTAGCAGAGGGACAAAGTTGTGAAGTTGAAAGCACTAAATTGAGCAAAATGGAAAACTAAACAAAACAAAAGATGTTGCTTTTTAATTTTTTATATACCCACCAAAAAACAAAACTTGCCATATTTTAATGAATCAAACTCAATTTCATGATGGAGTCTGTCAATCTGCCTTATTAGAAG